CCTAAATGATTGTTCACAAGTTGCAAACTCCCATGGCCATAAATTTGGCACCTTTATGCCATGGAGTCCCTCAAAGACTCTAGATCTCAAGGTTCTTCCCACATGGGACATCCAAATCCTAAAGGCAACCCTTATTGACCCAAAACATGGAGAAAAAGCCCTAAAATTGGATCTAAACACTCAATAAGCAAGGTAAGAGCTTTTAACCTCAGGTGAACCAGAAATGAAGCTCTACTTCTAGATCTACTCTTCTTCTCTTGAATCCTCAAGCTTCTCCTTTGTTCTTAAACTTCAAAATCACCAAGAACACACAACAATGGCTCAAAAACACTTAAAGATGAATTATGGTTTCGTGGCTAGGGTTTGAGACGATGGAGGCTGCAAATGAGGCCAGCCTTTGGAGGTTAAGGTGTTTAAATAAGGTGCTAAACCCTAAAAATTAAGGTTTCAATATAGCATCCCTACTCGTCGAGTTGAGGCTCTCAACTCGTCGAGTATACTTTAAATCCCGCGTCCCAAATTTCCATTCCGACTTGACGAGTTTGGGGCCTCCAACTCATCCAGTTCATGTTAGAAATGAATAAAATTATAATTTAAAAAACATACCAGGAACCGTGCGTTACATTCTTAAAGGTCAAATTTCACAAAACTATGTACTAGCACTATATTATCAATGAAATGGGTACGTATTTTATTTCATTGGGTGTTGCTATCTGTTATGCAATTGTTTGCTTAGCATAGTAAACTTCATTTATGATTATTTTCAAATTTCAATAACAACTAGACTTGATACATATACAAACAAGGCATTCCATCACTGTAATGCCCGATTCATAAATCTTATCAAACACTTATCGTTATTCCACCTTTAAAATTTATGGCAGAAGTATGCCACCAAGGAAGTCAAATAGGTGCAAGAACAACACACCAACAACCCCACCACCGCCACCACCTCTACAGATTGACTCTCCCGTATTACAGGCTACTGTAACAGCCGTTGTGGCTGTCGCTGTGGCCCAAATCAGTAGTAACAACATCAGAAACGGAAACATGATCAACATTTACAATAAAAGCGAAAACCAAGGGCACCAACAATATGTGCTCCTACAAAGAATTCATGAACTGCAAGCCCAGGACCTATCATTGCGATGATGTGGTCGTTACTTTGACATGATGGTTTGAGAAAACCGAGTCCATCTCCGAGATTTGTGCATGTCCGGATGAATTCAAAGTCAAATATGCAACATGTACATTCACAAACTCGACTTTGTCGTGGTGGAACTACCATGTTAAAACTTTGACTCTGGTTGTGGCCAATGTCATGAGTTGGGAGGACCTAAAAGATATGATGCTAAAAGAGTATTGTCCGAGGAGCAAGATGCAGAAACTGGAACAAGAACTGTGGGAGAACTCCATGAAAGGCTCCGATATAGCCACCTACACTGCCCAATTTAATGAACCGGAAACTCTGTGCCCAGGAATGGTCACCCCAGAGGCCAAGAAAGTGGAACGTTACATTTTGGGACTATCCCCTTAGATCAAGGGAATGGTTATATCCGCCAACTTGATCACCTTCGATAGTGCCAAACGTTTGGCACAAACTCTCATCGACCAGGGAACTCTTCAAGGTATTATGACCCCCACTCTCGAATAACCAAAGTAGGGAGACAACAAGCAGAAGTTCAGGAATAAGAAAAAGGGTGAACCCGCTCAAGATCTAGCCAAGAAACAACAAACTTTGGTCGTCCATGCAATCACCACCCTTACCGCCCCAGCACCAGCCAAGCAATATGTTGTGGCTCCTCCAAAATCCGACAAGTGCAACTACCATCACCACTCTAAATTAATATCAGATCTAAAAATCAGGGGGCCAATTTAATGATTTTTGGTTTAATTTCATAATTAAACGGTATATATATATATATATATATATATATATATATATATATATATATATATATATATATGAGTATTACTGTATTAGAAATCTCAAAACCGGGGAGGCCAAGGCCCCCTAGACCCCATTACGTTCCGCCACTGGTCACGTTATATATTTTTGATATACATATTTGATATCAAGCAAACAATGTTTTAATACAATGTAAACTTTTAAATTATAAATATGTTATATGTATGGGTTTGATCATTTATATTCAGTCGTAGTGATACTATACATGAAAGTGATCCACCCCCAGACGTTCCTATCGTTCTGGTTTGGGGGTGTGACAAAAGAAGAGAGGAAGAGGGAGAAGGGAGCTCATGGTTTTTCTTCACTCTCATAAGAGTGGACCAAAAATGCAAGCAACTGAACCCATCGGTTTTGGTTTGGGTTAAAATTATTGAAAACCGATGCCATTGTTTTAAGTTCAATTTTAGGCAAAAGTTGACCCAAAAAGGACACCCTCATCGCGTAAGGTTGGTCTTATGTTAATTTCATGGAAGCAGACTATCACCTTCTCGCGTCCTAGTTTAATTGAGCTTTTATCACATTGTTGTATTTACTTGACTTAATTAAAGTCTCACAGAATGTTGAAGATACTTGTCTTTGAGCTTCTCTACAAGCTACATGTGTGTTCTTATCTGTAAGACTATTTCATGTGTTTTATAGACTTTCTGCACGTAAAGAATAGAAATTTAAGGATTTATTATGCAACCATATATAGAAATTTGTTCCCAAACCACACGATGTTAACATAATCCGTTTATATAAATTTATTGTTTCAAATTATACTTGGATGGCTCTTTCGAACGATACAATGCATGTCATGGATAATACATCAATGTAGTGTTAAAAATGATGTTCTTCATGGTCACCTACATGAGATCGTCCACATGTGGGTTCTATTACCCAACTTATTCAGGTCATGCATGCCTTCTTAACAAATAACTTTATGGATTAAAAAAAGCTCCATAAGTCTGGTACCAATGCTTTTGTGAATATTTACATGTTTCTCAACCGTAAAGAGAGAAAATATAAGTGTTGTCGATTGGAATACTTCATCTAGGAAGTGGAAAGAGGAATTGTTGTGGTTTATGAGGAATGTATACCTAACCAATTTTTAGTGGCATGTCCCTAACAATCAAGTACCTAGTAGTTCATTTAAACCATCTCACTACAAAAAGGAATATGTATAGAATAGCAGGATAACTAAGGGAGAAGATTCCTAAACTAGTTATTGATATCATCGGGAGAAGCACTGAATGTGATTTCCTTCATGACAATATGATACTTTGGCTATATGGGTTTGAGACCTTTTATGGAGAATTCCCATGAAAGTTTTTTCATTATTTGGTTGCATAAATGATTTGATGATGTTGTTAGGAATATCTCATCATCATATAGTTGGAGATAATTAATATCATTATTATGTCAATAAATAAAGCGTGAGTGATTCGAACAACAATGAGAAAAACAAATAATGGAAATATATTCACAAAAGCATTGGTACCAGACTTATGGAGCCTGTTTTAATCCATAAAGTTATTTGTTAAGAAGGCATGCATGACCTGAATAAGTTGGGTAATAGAACCCACATGTAGACGATCTCATGTAGGTGACCATGAAGAACATCATTTTTAACACTACATTGATGTATTATCCATGACATGCATTGTATCGTTCGAAAGAGCCATCCAAGTATAATTTGAAACAATAAATCTATATAAACGGATTATGTTAACATCGTGTGGTTTGGGAACAAATTTCTATATATGGTTACATAATAAATCCTTAAATTTATCTCGCATGGCTATGTGCCAACTGGTGTCATTAAGTGCCTTATTCTGATTATAAGGAATCATGCACATCGTTGTTGATGCTTGTAGATTAAAAAGTTGTCGATCATTGAAGATTTCATGCATGCTTTTGGTGACTATAGTTTGCTGGGAGGGGATCTAGTGGGAGTTGCTATTGAAAACAAGGTGTCATGAGCAAGGGTTATCGGTATGGACAACACATATGAATAGGGGATTGGTGCGTAGTTGAATGCAATGAGTAAATAAAGTGGGGTTAGAGACGAAATATTGTGAGTAGTTTGATCCAGTCGAAGGAAGTGTTAATGGAGGGTTTGTGCCTTGTGGCATTCCTTAGGGAAGGAAGGGTTTGGTAGCCAAAGGTTGTGATAAGGATGATTGGAACGTGTTTGTTTATGGTTAGAAAAACCGAGAAAAGAGACTCGATAGAGTTTGTATAAGGATTTGGGCATGGTTGATGGGAAAATAGAAATATGGTTTCATATGATACAATGCTCAATTTTCACAATGAAGTGTCGTAACATTTGTATCCATGGTGATTGGACGAGTATCCAAGAAATACACACATAATGGATCTTGCTTGAAGTATATGAGTTGGTTGCGTAAAAAAGGGAAAGCAACCAAATGTCTATAAATGGTTATATGTAGGGTTGTGGATCTCACAAATGCAACACAAAGATTCACAACCATCGATTTAGTTAAGTGGTCAAGATCTCATAAAAGCAACACGGGAGAACACTGATAACTTCAAAATAGCTCGCCTAGACTTCTTTGCCAAACAAAACCTCGAGGACAAGGGTCATTCTCATGGGAAGGGTATTGATACGAACCACCCCATAAGACCCCTCAGAACACGGAAGACTCCGACTAGCTATTTGGATTAGTCCAACCATGTTCTACCCTAGAAACCAAGAAGTGGTCAACGACTACTACAACTTCGGTTATCTCAATTATGCATGCATGATCTAGGTATGTTGCATTGTAATCATGTTTCCATTTCTTGCGCTTACACGAGTTAAGTGTTATTAATTGTCGCGTAAGTTTGTTTTAGAAATGAATCAGAACAATAAATCTATTCTCTCTAATAACACTATGGAGGCTGACATGACCACCTCGAACTAGTCTATATCAAACATACATCATAAGAAATATCAATGTATAGTATTTAATCATAATTATCAGAATTCTAAGATCCCATTTGAATAAGATGTTAACAATTGTAAAGATTCGTTATCAATAATTATAGCCAAAGGTATAGTGTGCAACATGTGAAATTTTGTAAAGCACCCTAAAAGTGACAAACTTACACCCACAACACCAAATAAACAAATCCAGGTAACCATAATTGACTTAATGAAAATTTTCGTGCTTAGACTATATATTATCATTCCATCTATATTTTCCAATAAAAAAAACCTATAAATTACAACGCACACTCTTTTTACGCAAGATTGACATAATAACACTAATTTCACACACCGTTTACTCCTTGGATTTTCTCTCTCTCTCTCTCTCTCTCTCTCTCTCTCTCTCTCTGGAAGCTGTGGTTACACACACAGTTTCAGTGCGGCGACCTTTGCCATGGCTATCGCAGCAGCAGTTACTATCGTCCCTATTGGCCTCCTCTTCTTCGCCTCTGGTCTCATCGTTAATCTCATTCAGGTATAGTTTTGCCCTTATCATTTCTCTGTTTAAGATCACTGGATCGAAATCTTGTTAGGGATTTGCTCAATTTTAGAATCTTATACCCTTGGGATTACGCGAGTGTTTGATTGCAACTTTATTTGTTCTACCTCTTACTAGATTGGTAGTTTTTTTCGTCTGTTTACTGAAATTTTTACTAAGATTCACTCGTTCGAGCTTATATTATACCGCTGAATCTCACTAGGTGCTATTGGTTACTGTTGATTTACTATTTGTAGGCTATTATTTATGTGACTATACGGCCATTCTCGAAGAGTATATTTAGAAGAATTAACAGAATGGTGGCGGAGCTGTTGTGGCTGGAACTTGTGTGGATCGTTGATTGGTGGGCAGGAGTCAAGGTAATGATGATTTTATTGAAGTTAAAAGTTTTTAAATTACTTATTTAAGTTTATCTGAAAATCCGATTACTCATATATCAGAAATTTATTAGGGCTTTTTTGATACGATGATGCTATTCAAAATTAGGGCTTTGAAAGTTTAATTTACTGCATAGGGTTTGCAACTATGCATTCATTTGCATTAAGTGATAAAGACTGAAATCACTGAATGAATATAGTTTCTTGTAGCCTTTCATTTGCTTTATGCTGTGATTGAGAGCATCAAAGAAAGTTCATTCGTTTTCTCTCTATACTCATCACTAAACTGTAGTTTTAACTTTTAACTAACTGCAAATCAAATGCTAGCCCCAACTGCTGTTTAATTGACTTGTATCTGAATTTATTAAGTTAGGTTGAATATCTTTTTCATTCCATATTCTTCCAAGGCACATGCCTACTTTTTTCTAGTAGTTTTCATTATTTACCTAAAACCCCCGATGCATTATCATCCTTTGTGGACCATATATACACATAACAATATATTTAAAATGATTCTTTTCTTAAGATTTCTGTGGTTGTTTTGATGCAGGTTTGTCTATACACAGATCCTGAAACTCTAGAAATGATGGGTAAGTTGGATACTGATTTTGCAACATGCTACTCTGGTCCATGTGTAAAATGTATTATTTTTGTAATTTTGATTTTGGCTTACCCCATTTCTGTTTACAGGTAAAGAACATGCTCTTGTGATAGCTAATCATAAAAGTGACATTGATTGGCTCATTGGGTGGGTGTTTGCTCAGGTGATTATCAAACATAACCTTATTAGTGTCTAGTTATTTATATGTGCTCTTTACTAATATTATTCTTCAAATTGTTTTGTAACAGCGATCAGGGTGTCTTGGTAGCACATTAGCTGTCATGAAAAAATCATCAAAATATCTTCCAGTAAGTATTCAAAAAAATAAAATAAAGGTGTTTAATTTATATTTTATGTGAAAAATAAAGGGGTTTAATTTATGTTTTATGCAGGTGATCGGTTGGTCAATGTGGTTTTCTGAGTATCTTTTTCTTGAGAGAAGCTGGGCTAAAGATGAAACTACTCTAAAGGTATAATCACATTTATTATATTGCTAGTGATTTGATAACTTTTTTTTTTTTAAAAAAAAAAAATGTAATTATTATGTTGCAGTTGGGACTTGAGAGGCTGAAAGACTACCCTCAGCCATTTTGGTTGGCTCTTTTTGTGGAGGGGACTCGGTTTACTCAAGCCAAGCTTTTAGCAGCTCAAGAATATGCATCTTCATTGGGATTACCTGTTCCTAGAAATGTTTTAATTCCACGAACAAAGGTACTATTTATTTGTCTATTTCTTTTCTTAGGTTTTTATTTACTTAATATTGTTATTTGTAATATGTGTCAGGGGTTTGTTACTTCAGTGAGTCAGATGAGATCATTTGTTCCTGCTATTATTGATATGACTGTTGCTCTTCCCAAAGATACAACTCCACCAACAATGCTCAGGCTCTTTAAAGGCCAGTCTTCTGTGGTAAGGTCTTTTTTTTTTTTTTTAATTTTTTTTTGTGGATGAATAAAGAATGGATTTTTGTTTTGTGTAGATTCATGTGAAAGTGAAGCGTCATTCAATGAAGGATCTGCCAGAATCAGACGAAGCTGTTGCACAATGGTGCAAAGATATTTTTGTTGTGAAGGTGAGTTTTTATTTGTTTATTTATTTATTTTATTTATTAAATAATCATATATGTGTATATTTACATTTACAGGATGAAGTACTGGACAAGCATAAAGTAGAAAACACCTTTTCTGATTCTGAACTCGTTGACATTGGCCGACCATTGAAGTCTCTAGTTGTAACAACCTACTTTCTCTCTCTCTCTCTCTCTCATCGATTTATTTAAGCATTATTTTTATGATTTTTTAATATAAAATAACAAACAAACAGGTGGTGGTTTCGTGGGCATGCTTGATTGTATTTGGGACGTTCAAATTTCTGCAGTGGTCAAATCTTTTGTCTTCATGGAAGGGTTTGACTTTTGCTGGGGTTGGGTTGGCCGTTGTAACTGTTTTGATGCAGATATTGATCCAGTTCTCTCAGGCTGATCGGTCCACACGTGCAAAGGTGGCCCCCACAAGGTCGAATGGTAGTACTAGTGTCCAAGACAAGCAGCAGTGACTGTTGTGGACATCCTCATTTCCTTCTTCCTTTTTTCATTTATCTACAGACGTGGGTGTAATGAGTATTGTGTACTGTGTACTGTGTAGTAAAGATTAAAGAATAGAATATGCTCTGCTATTATGTCCTTATGATGAATCGGTTTCAAACTATCTTGTTACATTTTAGGACCACATGAATTCTGTTTGCTTTGGGTTGGGTCGGGCCAATAGTTGTAGATTCAAAACCAGTGGGCAGCTTTGTGGCTTCTTACGGTGGAAGGAGTCGGTTGTTTGGTGGGGTAGACAGTAGGGGGCAAGTCGATTCAGTTGAGTTGACAAGGTGTTGCAGCTGCATTGAAGCAAGGCGGGTTTTCTAACCTGTGACCATCTTTGACCATTGACCAGTCAAAAAGTTTTTTTTGATAAATATTTTACAAATATAATTTACCCCATCCACCTTATAAAAAACCACAGCTTCTCCGATTGATTCCATTCTCTCTAACTCCACTCTAAATGGATTTCTATGGCAAATCTAAACAAGACGGTTCCAATGAAAAAAGAGACAACTGGCAAAACAAAAACACTCCTAAAGATTTTCCATTACCATTTTGGAAACCAAAACCCAAACTACCCACACCCACAATACCAACACTATTAACAACAATATGATCAACTCCCAAAGCACAATCATATAATCAATTCTATCTTCCACTAGATAATACAGATTATCAACAACAATATATGTACCAACAACATATGCAGTATTCTCAACTGTTTAGGGAACCTAATACCAATACTCTCCACCCGATCTCCTATAATTTCGTGAAAAGGAGAGAGACAATACAAGGACCACCACTAGTTGGAGAAGGAGAGAGAACCCATCGAAAAATCTTATTAGATGCATCATGGCCACCGTTGCCGAAACACCACCCTTCTCACCCTAGACCTAAAAACCTAGATTGAAAACATCCTCATCATCCTTCTCCTCCTCTCTCTACACACACACACACAAATTTGAAAACACAATCACCTCATCTCACACCATAACTATGATTTTCATATCTCACCAGCTACCGATGAAGATGACCGTGGTGCTAGATTTATTGTAAGGGTTTTCGAGACATCATTCTTTGGTAATGATGATACTAGGGTTACAGACTCGTCTTTTCTTTGTCTCTCCACATCTGGCTAGGGTTTTTGGACCACCACCGTTCGCAGATCTGGCTCAACGACAACAGCCGGCAATGGTGTCGATTTCTTATGTGTGAACGAAGGTGTAAGGCGACGATTTTTTATTAATTTATAATTATATTACCACATAAATAAAACTTTAAAATAGATATAATTACTTTTTAGAAGTTTGATATTAATAACTAATCACAAAAATTTAACAAAAAACACAATACTTGTATCCCCAGTTGGAAAAGACACAACAAAGAGCAAAAAACGTGTCTCAAATGAAAAACATGCGTCATAACATGTCATGACACGCTATATCACGCCTAACAATAACGTTATGAGACTTTTTATAACGACGAAGTCACGCCTTATGCCATGGCACACCTTGGGTGGTACCATAGCGCCTTTTAAAACACTGGTGAATGTCATGGATGAACACCACCATTTTCATTGGAGCTAAGGTTTGCAGATCAAGGGATATATATATATATATATATATATATATATATATATATATATATATATATATATATATATATATATATATATATATATATATATATATATATATATATGGAAATGTTATATAGAAAACAAAAAAAAAAAAAACCCTAAAAATGCATAAAAAAATATTTAGAGATTACAAATTTTTTTTTTACTTTATATTCTTAAAAATCGCAGTTTTTTTTATAAATTCGTTGAAAAAAAAATTAAAAAATCGATTTTTATTTTTTTTTTATTTTTCTTTTTTTTTTTCAAAAAAAAATTCATCGAATTTATATAAAAAAATGCGGTTTTAAAGAATATAAAGTCAAAAAAATAAATTTATGATCTCTAAATATTTTTTTATGTATTTTTCTAATTTTTAGGAATTTTTGTTTTCCATAGAACTTAAACCTATATATATATATATATATATATATATATATATATATATATATATATATATATATATAGAGAGAGAGAGAGAGAGAGAGAGAGAGAGAGATAGAACCTAAACCTATATATATATATATATATATATATATATATATATATATATATATATATATATATATATATATATATATATATATATATATATATATATATATATATATATAGAGAGAGAGAGAGAGAGAGAGAAAGAAGTGCGACGGTCCATCTAACCACCATGGAAGAGACATCACCGACAGAAAGTGGTGATCTCCGACGAGTAAGGCTACACTATCGGCCAAACAATAAAGAGAAAAATGGAATGGGTATGTTAAAGACAGGGGTGTAATTGGGGTGGTGTCGGATTTCTCTTTTGTGTTTTTAATAAAATAGTAAACTACATAAAAGAAAATGAAAACAAATAAGGGCAAAGTAGTCTTTTTGACTCATTTCAAATCTTTCAATAACCAAACCCACGATAAAAACTCATTTTGATCCAACAGAGCTAGTCCAAATTTTTTTGGATCAAAGTGGTAAATTTTGGCTAACCATAGAGATAAATTTTGCAATTTTGTATTTTTTTTTACCAAAATAAGTAGGGGTGAGAGTCTGTTTGGTTTATGGTTATCTCAGTTTTTTTGAATCAATTCCTAGGTTTGAATTCTTTTTTTTTTTTTTTTTTTTTTTGTTCAAATTGAAAGTCGAACTAAACCTAAGTTAAATCCCTCTAAATCAAATCGAAAACCAAATTCGAGTTTGGTTTAGAAACTAAGGAAACCAAATATTTTCTGTAAAAAATCAATGTTTCAATTTTCCAAACATAAATTACAAAGTTTCAAACATAAAATTCTAAAATTCTTTAAATAAAGATCTGCAGTTTCATACATAAAATAATAAATTGGTACTCGTACTAGTTAGAAAGATAAAGTTTAACTTCCAAGTTTCAAACAAAATATAAAACATGAAGTTCAAAAATTATTCCTAGTGGCTTGGCAAACTCTGATATAACATCAAGAAAAATTGATTAGGATGTTGATTACCATAAGTCTACAATAGAACATTTAAAAGTCAATATATAAAATAATTGCAACTTACATAAAAAAAAGTCAATACCATTATACCATCTTCAAATGTTCAATGTTTTCTTCTGTATTGACTAGTTCTTTGAGCGGATCCAATCTTGACAAAATTTTAATGTTTGTATAATTTTTGAAGTTAAAGAACTCTGAAATGCATAAAGTACATTTTCTCCGGTACTAAAACTATAAGGGTTAAAAAAAAATTATTTTATATTTGATCATTTAACATTTTTATTCAATATACAAAATATAAAATATATATTTTAATGTATTAATTATTGCAGTTCGGTTATTCGGTTCGGTTTGATCTAAACTTCATAAGACCAAACTCAAACAAAAAATCAATTTAAAAAATGAATTGTATTTCCGAATCTGATTACTTTAGCGCTAATGTATCATTATGTTTTTTTAACGCAAATTTAATCTACTCATAACCTACTATTTAGTTTGTTTATGCCTAAACGAGACTTAAACCCTCGACTTCAACTACAGAAGACTACATCTGATATCATTAGGCTAAAAGGCATTTAGTTCAATATGTCATGTTCTATAAATTGATAATAAATCAAATATGTTACATAAATCGATTCATTTTATTTTACTAAATAAATCGATAAAATAATCTACTTTATCTTGACAGATGGGTAAACATACATAAATCCTTTGCATAAAGAAATGCCAAAAAAAATATTTGGTATTCTGTTTGTTTGTTTTTTTTTTTTTTTTTTAATCAAAAAGGGATTTAATTATTATTATTATTTTTCAATTTCATAAACAAGGATGAAGTTAATTACAATTCAGGGCCGATACACACTATCTCAGAAGGAAAGATAAAAACATAAGGTGCCAAAAAACAACGCCGTTGCCGGGGATCGAACCCGGGTCACCCGCGTGACAGGCGGGAATACTTACCACTATACTACAACGACTTCGATGTTATACATATTTAATTTTCATTAACAAACAAAACTTGTTTCAGTTTCCATCATCAAAACAAAAATTACAGTTCATCCGGATTGTATTACAGATATAAATAGGACACTTCTTTTTATTTGTAAATCATTTCACACCATTTGAGGTCAATATTGTTGTGTTGCATTCTCAAAGTGTCAAAAATAGTAGATATTTTAAAAAATAATTTCATAAACTATGAATAAATATTTTGCAAATATGAATAATTTCATAAAATAATAGAATTTTTCAGTGCAAGGGACAGAAAATTAATTTTACAAAGTTCAAATTATGTCACACACTTTTGTAAAATATGTGATCATTTATGATATCAAACTTCCCTTTTTTTTTGGTAGCAAATCCCATTTATAAATCCTCTTATAAAGTTAAAGACAAATACGAAAAAGAATATAAATTTCAACAAGAAAGATTTAATTGAAATTACAAATAAACAGTAGATTTACAACAATTAAATGTTTAATAAATCATACATCAAAACAGAATCATAGAATGATACAATACCACAGAAAACAAAATTATAACATGCGAAAAAACCAATCTTCCAGAAATCTCCGGTGATCAGATGTTCAAAATTCGAAATCAATTCCGGAAGAAAGCAACTAAAGAAAGAAGCAAAGACGTTCCGATCACTACTCCCGAAACCTGGACGGAAAAGGCAGCTCCGGCGTCAGGAGAAGGGGCAGGAGCCGTCGCTTGAGCAGACACGGTGGCTGCCGCCGAGATTGCCACGAGGGCGACAACAGAAGCCTTCTTCATGATGTTGCTAACTTGCGCCATTTGTGAATCTGAAGACCGAAGACGGAGTATGTAAGTAGATTGATTGTAGTGTGTAATGTGTTTGTTTAGTGGGTGAAGAAATTATGATGAAAGGTATGCGTTTTAAAGGGGAAAGTTAGAGTGCATGACAGCCGAGCACGTATTTGATATTCAAGAAAGAAAGAGGCTTCAAGCTTTTCTTTCACATTACATGTTCAATGTTGTGCTGGCACATCTTTAATCATGGACTTGCAACATATTGCTGTTGGACACCTTGTAATTTAGAGATAAATATAAAAAGTTAAAACCCTACCATATGATTTTTAATATTTAAACAATATATATTAACTTTGATGATTCTGATGATGATTGTGTAAATCCACGAGGGGTAATAGTACATTTATTACATCTCAT